CTTTCTAAACTGATCCTAGCTATTTCCATATGTAAAGCAATATTAAGCCTGAGAAAAGAAACAGAGTTGTTTTAACTAATTAAAAAAGATGTTTCACATGCAATCCTTGTGAAGCACCTTTTTAAGGAACTCTACAGCAAAAATATTTAATCAGTTCATTGACAATCATCAAAAATCAATTCCATTTTGTGAACTAGTTAGAGGATGTGCAACATCTTCCAACTGTCATTTTTTTGTTATTTTGATTGAATATGTTTCTCTACAAGAGCAATTCCAGTAACAGTATATAATTTAATGGCTTTTAAGCAATCTGTGACAATTTGGTAGCTCTTATTGAATAAAAAAAATCACACGTTCTTCTGTCTGTGAAAGGATTGTACTGATATCCTAGCCATACTTATTCAAACCAGAAGGGCTAAAAAAGCAAATGTTTCTTATATGAGCTGTCCAATGTGTTTCAAACACTGTTTTTCAAATTCTGTTTTAGATGAAAGTTCATTATCTAGGGTTACTCCATGAGATAGCAGGCTTTTATTGCACTTTAACCAAGTTCTGTTCCAGCTGATGTCTGTATCTTGCTTGCAAAATTGGAGGAAGCTGAGTTTTACTTCTACTTAAGTAAAGTTGGTTAGCAACGTAATAGATAATCAGCTTTTCTAATGCTATTAATCTTTTATAATCTCAATAATTCCTTTGCTTCTATTCCATATCAGTTCAGATTATTTGGGGGGGAGGAATATGTAAACAAACTGGTAAATAACTAATAAATATGTTAAAAGGAAAGGCAGTCTCTTTATATATGAACTAACTGCATTTGAATTCAAGTTAGAAATTCTAGATTAGTGTTTCTCAGAGCAAAGACTCCCTGAGGCTGGTAGTGTATTTATGAATTATATACCTACCATAAAATGAAAAGATTAATTGTGTAGCATACTCCCCAAAATTGAGTTTGACACCTCTGCTCTAAAGACAAGTTATTTTAGCCATAATACAAAATGAAGTTTAAGTTGTATCAAATTCTTTAAGAATACACGATCTTACTTTAAAATAAGGTTATGGAACAGGCAACCTTATCCCTTCATAAGGATTTTTTTGCTACTATAATATCATGACATGTAAAATTAATTTAATGGTTTAAAATAACTTTCATTCCTAACACATCTACAGAATGCTGGAAAAAACATTTAAGATCATTGTTATTTTCTGTTATTTTCTGTTATGATTGGATAACAGTTAAGGAAGCCTGCAACAAACCCAGTACAGATAGCCCTTGACTTACAACACTTCATTTAGTGATCATTTGGAGTTAAAAAAGGCATTGAAAAAAGTGACATGACTATTTTTTCACACAACCACTGTAGCATCCCCGTGATCATGTGATCAAAATTCAGATGATTGGCAACTGACTCATATTTATGACGGTTGTAGTGTCCTGGGGACATGCAATCACTTTTTGCAACCTTCTTACAAACAAAGTCAATGGGGAAGCCAGAGTCTCTTAACAACTATGTTACTAGTTTAATAACTGCAATGATTCAGTTAACATCAATGGCAAGGTCATAAAATGGGAAAAAAATCACTTAACAAATCTTTCACTTAGCAACAGAAATTTTGGGCTCAATTGTAGTTTTAAGTAGAGTACTACTTGTATCCTATTGAACTACTCTGATAGTTATTTCTGTTCAAATTAGGTTGTTATATTCAACTTACTCTCCACCTATTGAAATGAAGCAAAATAACTCTAAGAGTTAAGCCGAAGTTACTTAACTCTGTCAGATTCAAATATCTACGACATTAATATACAATTGAAAACATATTAAAAATTATTCCTCCTGGAGATATGTTTTTAATACAAAATAACTGTATTTTAAGATATTGTAAACTTGCATATAAAGGGCATTATATGTCAAAGCAACTAGAAACAGTTTTTTCCCTGGTGTCATCACTCTGAACTCTGAACACCTAATCCTCAGAGTACTATCTTATATCTAAGTGTATTCACACATATGGTATGACTGTAGTATTATTATCCTTCTCATCTTCTCTATTTCTCTCCTTACTGATATCATTATGTTATTACCCATTGCTTTACATGTACACTGAAAGCTGCTGCACCAGAGATAAATTCCTTATGTATTTAATCACACTTGGCCAAAAAAAAATTGTAATTCTAATATCAAAGAAAAGTACTCATGCGTAGTATTTATTTTGAATTCAAATCACATCAAATCTCTATACAATAAGCTAATCCAGAATTCTGTGTGCCATTGATAGTTATAATTCTCATTTTAACAGAAGCAATACACAAGAACGAATCAAGTATTTGTTTTACAAGACAGCTTTCTCTTTTTGCTGGTAGAAATCAAATAGCATCGCACTATACCATCAATTGTGGAAAGTGCATAATCAAGGAGCCAAATCAAAAGAGAAATTTGCAATTTACCTCACATATAATATGTAATAAAAACATACATTTAAAACTCTGGGAAAAATACATTATCTGAAGAGAAAGTTTTGCAAATAGCATTTTGCTGACTGATATGAATATAATTTCAAATTCCTATTGGAAGAAATAAATATTAACTAATCACCACATGAAGCGTAAATCTGTACTTTATTGTATACCCCACATAAACTCTGGAATGCTTTTTTTCAGTTTATTAAGTATGCTTATTTTTTCACACGTTAAATGTGAAAATAGTATCTAAATCCTCTATATGATTCATGCTTAGTATAACAATGAAGACAAACAAAATTCAACATTATAAATTATTGCTAAATAAATTAGGATTATTACTAACTTGAGACCAGTTTTCTTCTCAGCCAACTTACCACACAGGGATGCTGTTGTGGGGAAAACTGGTGAAAGCATCATACATATCACAGTGGACCAATAAGGAATCAAGACAGAAGTTGCAGGCATCCAATTGAAGCTCTGTTTGGAAACTTTCTCAATATTGCATACAAGTACAAAGCTACAGTAATTGTATTGCAGTGTGATGACTGCTGTCTTGATCTTTTTGATCCCACCATTAACCTATAGGTCATACTGAGCTAAAAAAAATGTAATATAATACTACCATTTTTACATCAGTACAAAGGTTGATTATGTTGTATCCATTTTGCTGATGAAAAGTTAGAAAAGTTCTAAATTATCTTTTAAACAAAGCAACAAATTGTTTCCTTGCATCAGAAAAGTTCTTTTTTTCTGAATAAGCTTTCTCTTTGAGAACTCAAATACCTTGTGTACTTGTTTAGAAATAAAGAATTTTCAGGTTACAAAACATTTTAAGTAAATTATCTGAGGAAAATTCATTAGAATGCAACTAATGACAAAGCAACCAACCATATTGTATACAGAAAGTTGCATGAACAAAATTATGTGATCAGATAATGTCCAGTTCAATATGTCGTGAAAATTCATAAAACTGGGCTGAGTAAACTATGGTTATGTTAACCATGACAAGTATGATTTGAAAAAACATCTAAAGAAAGCATACTAATGAACTGACAGGATAAGGCAGGGATGGCGAACCTTTTAGAGACCGAGTGCCCAAACTGCAACCCAAAACTCACTTATGCATCGTCGGGTGCTGGGTGGGTGTGGCCCATTGGGTGGGTGTGGCCCATTAGGTGGGCATGGCCGCAGTAGTAACAGCAGACTGGGTGAACTAAAAAGTTCAATCAATCAATTCCAACTTTGCAAGATCTTTTTTTTCTCCGCGAGAAGTTGAAATTGACTGATTGAACTTTTTTTTTTTGTACACAGCAGCGGAGGTCTAAAGAGAAAAGGTTTTATAAAACCCAGCTGAAGGCCTAGGACTGGGGCAACGGCGCGCGTGCCCATAGAGAGGACTCTGAGTGCCGCCTCTGGCACCCGTGCCGTAGGTTCGCCACCACTGGGATAAGGCATCATACTTATCTAATAAGCATCATATATATGCTACCTTTGGGTTTATGCCAATACAGAGTACAACTGTAGTGCAAAAGTGCTTCATTGCATCCTGTGTCTGCCTCAGTTTCTACTACAGATTTATACAAAAATACCAAAAATCAATTAAGCACAATAGCTTAAACCATTCAACAGCAGAATTAAAATTCTCAGAAAACTTTTTTAACAGATACCTTTTTAACAATGCTGTCACACTGTATTGTAAATTTTATCTTATGGTAAGACAGTAAGCAATATTTACAAAAAACATATTGCTGGCTTCAACCAAGAAGTGAGCATACAGTACAAGCACTATGAAGTCAAAGTGGCTTGAAAAAGTAGCAGATACCTGAGACACAGAGCCAATGTTGTACCTCTCCTTTTAAAAATCCCACTTTCACTGGCATGTCCCTCCAAATAATTTTCCTACTTTCATCTGCTCTAATAAAAGATTGTAAAAACATCAGCTCACTCTGCCCTTGCTTTGGAAAATAAACTGCACCATCATATGAAAGAAACTGAGGCAGACACAGGATGCAATGAAGCATTGAAAGCTAAGCCCGGCTACTGGGATCGCCTCAGCTGATGACACAAAGCAAACTCAATCAATACTCGGTTAACCGGGAAAAGAAGGGAGAGAAAAGGGGCTAGTGTTATTCATGTAAAAATAAGCTGGAAAGTAAACACCCTTCCAATAGAGGCCTACTGTAGAATAGTTCTTTTCAGCATTAGAAGCCTAATCACCCTGATGCCTTTTCAAAAGCCAAGCAAACCCTCCGCTGCTAAGCGTCCGGGAAAATCCCTCACCGACTTCCGAAGTAGCAGCCCCAAAGGAACACCCAAACCACAATATGAGATAAAACTCACCCAAGGCCAATCTACCCCAGAAAAGCGATGCGGCGCTCTGATTGGGCCTAGACAGTCCGAGGCCAAGAGATTGGGTGAAAGAAGTCTTCAGAAAGCAGAAGAGCTCCAGAAAGAGAGGAAAATAAAGCACAAGCGCCTCCACTGCGGACCCCACCAACCTCCTCTCTTTTCCAATCCGCCCCTTTTGATGCCAAATTTTTACCTCAGGTAACATCATTACTCGCGGTGGAAACCTCCGGTTCTAGCTCCGCCGCATGGTGCGTCTGTCTCCAGCCGCAGCCCAACGCACACCGCTAAGGGACACCGGCAATTCTCAGCTTCTTCAGCGATCCCTCCGTAACGCCAGTCCCATTCCAACTACCGCCGCCGCCACCCGCTCAAGAGCGGCGGCCATCTTAGCTACGTGAGACGCTGCTGCCGCAGCCGCTGTCGGTAGCGCAGCCGCCCAATGGGGCAGTAGGTCGCGGGGCAGGCCTCTCTTCTTTGGTTGGGCTCCCTGAGCTGGCGCGGTTTGTCTTGCGCCGAGGCAGGCAGAAATTTGTTCGTTCTGTCTGCTGCGCTTCCCAGAACGGGACTTTCAGCTTGTAAAGCAGATCTGGATGAAAAGAGGAGGGCCGAGCCCGGGTTGGTACAGACTGTAGGAGATCCGGGTTTAAATTCGTTCTTGTAGAGTACTGGAGTGTATATGCCTAATGACTCTTACTCAGTAATAAAGGGGGTGGAGCAGGGAGAAGACATTTTACAGTATTTATAATCTTGAAGAATAGAGAGCTTAATCTTTAAACTTTAATGGAAAGATTAACAACGGAGAACAAGAGAAGAGGAATTGCAACCAGTTGCAGGCACAAACATGCTGACCTCACCTTCTTTTAAAATGTTACTCATGGCCCTTCAGCTGACAAAACTACCAGCGTGAAGCTTACAGCCCTACTGCTCAACCCATTCCTGCCATGGATTTAACTCCACCAAGTGGTGATATCCTTATTTACGGTGTTCGTGTTAGTGAATGGAATATTTCCCCGTTTTTGTTTTCCTTTCTTCCTGCCACAATCATCAGCCTGCAGGAAAACATCCCCATCCAGGTCATAATTAGGGGCTAAGGACAAATGGCTAGCTCATGTTTGACCATCAAGGTTTGTTCTGACTTTGTACTGGTATTTTTAAATAGAAACCTTTAATAAGTTGCCATTTGGGGACATGTGGTCTTCACATAGGAATGTGGATTGGGAGTTCTTGCAAAATGTTAAACCTCTATTCAAAAGCAGGTCAATTAACTATGGAATGTTGTATGATTTAAACACCCCCAGTATGTAACACCTGGGACCAAATGTATTATTTCTAGGATTATTTGACAACTGCAAAGGGCCTCCATTGCTTTAATAACTCTTATACAAGAACTACATTTGTCTGAAGCATCTTTTTGTCTTTGTACCTGAAGTGCTGTGGAGCCCTGTTATTTACAATAAACTAAATTACTCTTTAAATACCTGTGCTACCAATTCATCAACATGCTATGACACCCAGCTATATGTCTCAGCCCATGGTGAGTTAAGCTATGCCACAATCTCCCTCTCTCCGTGCTTGGAGGCTGCCAAGAGCTGGATGGGGCTGAAACTGAAACCTGGCAAGACAGAATCCTCTGAGTTGGAGTTTTGGTAGATGGAGAATTGCCATCTCTGGTCTTGGATGGAGTGTCATTGCCCCAGACAGATCCATAATCTGGGTTCATGACTCCAGTCATGGGCAGGAGGGTCTTTACATAACTGTGGATTGTGCATCAGTTATGCCTTTTCTTGGTCAACAATCCTTGCTCACAGTCGCTCACACCCTAATTACCTCCTGTCTTGACTATTACAATATGTTGTATAAGGGGCTGCCCTTGAAAAGTATCCAGAAACTTCAATTGGTTCAAAATGCAGTGGCCCACATAACGTTGTGCAAGCCTTAATGTGACATGTGTTATCTCCTGCAGGAATTTGCTTCTGAGTCCTGTTCATGTGCTGGTTTTCACCTTTAAAGCCCTACATGGCTTGGAAGCAGGTTATTGGAAGAACCATCTCTTCCCATTTACATCTACCTAATCCACAGAGGCAAGGAGGCAGGGAATACTATAGGTCCCTTTTCCTAAGAAGTCCATCTAGCAGAATGAAAAAGACGGGCCTTTTCTGTGGTGGCTTTCTCCCTACAGAACATCATTCCATGGATATAAGATTGTACCCCTCTTTCACAAGGCCCTGAAATTTTTCCAACAGAAATAGGGAATCCAGAGTAGGATAGAGCCTATCAAATGGCTTATTTGATTGACTGTTGTCACCTGGGCAGTGGTGGGTTATTATTTTTTATTGTTTCTTATATTAGGATTTTATCTATGTAAGTCACACAGAGTAAGTCACACTTAATGTGAGGTGGGCAGCCATATAAATTTTCTAAAATAAATATTTACTTTGTGAGGTACCTCTGATAAAGCTTTTTGAAATAGACAAAATTTGTTGGATAACTGCTTCACTTTGGGAGTGAGAGACTGGAATACCATGCCAAATACCACATTTGCATAAATGCTGACTTCACTTTTTTTTTAATGAAATAGACCAGACATGTCAAACACAAGGCCCAGGGGCTGGATGCGGCCCACAATGTAGTTTCATGAGGGAATGGCCCCTGCTGCCTTGGCCCCAGCCCAGGCCGCCCGGAAGCCAATGTACAATTTGGTGGTGGCCATCTATGCTGAAATGCATTCAGTCTTAGCTCCACAAGGACGTCTGGAAACAGCAAGGGACCGGCCCCTGCCACGTTGGCCCTGCCCCCTGGGCACATGCTGGGGAGGTGTCACCCTTTTTGAGGAATGAAGAAATGCACCATCGCCTGGAAGTGGCCAGCAAATGGCCCTCGCCTACTTCACATATCTGTTTGATGGGCTCTGGGGGAGGGGTTTCAGCAGGCAGTGTTTCAGCGCCGAGAGGCTGAGCCAGGCAGCACAAATCCAAAAAGAAGTGCGTCACCACTCAGCCCCAGCCTGTCCGATTTCAGCAGGCAGCAAGGTGCAAAGCTGGCGAGCTTTGCACTGCCTGGCTCAGCCTCTTGGCCATGTGAAGAGAGCGTCCTGCTGCCTGGAAGGCATTGTGCAGGTAACGTCAACTCTCACGTTGCTCATGGCATCCCCTCCCCCAAAGCTCACCAAGCCAGATATGTGAAGTAGGTGAGGGCCATGTGCTGGCCACTTCCAGGCGATGGTGCATTTCTTCATTCGTCACTAAGGGTGACACCTCCCCAGCTGCATTTCTTGCCTGTTTTTCTCCCTCATCTCAAATATTTTTCTACCACTCTGTTCTTAGGAAGGAAGGAAGGAAAGAAGGAAGGAAGGAAGGAGAGAGGGAGGGTCTGAGGGAAGTCCTGCCATAGTCCTGCCCTGCTGCCCTTTCACCATCCTCTTGCCCCCTCCTCCTGGCCTATCCTGGCGGTCTCCCATCCTATTGCTAAGGAAGCTTTGGATACAAAGCCGGGTCTCCTCCCATGGAGAGGGAATGGGCCTCCCTCTGATTTTGCCCTCATACCCATCATGAGCAACCTGGCTAAAGAGACCAAGCACAGCAGCAGCAGTCTTGAGGAGGAGGTAAGTGCAGCTGGGCACTCCCTTGGGGTAGTGGGGCTGGGCTTGGTGCCGTGGGTGCTTGAGGGCCAGGCTGGGCGTTTGACCTCTGCTGCCCAGGGCTCTGGAAAGCCCGCGGCACCATCCAGCCCCCCCTTCGCATGGCCTGAGAGGAATAGTGAGGCTCTTCCAGTGGACCATGCCTTGGCACTTATCCCGGTCCTACCCCCTTCTGCCAGAGACCCTCAGATCTGTCTGACTTCTGCCCAGGCCCCCACTGGCACCCTTAATGTGAACGATGTAGAGCTGGCCATGCCCACCCAGTAGGCCACACCTACCTTGGCCACATCTACCTGGCCCCCCAAGGACAACCGCAATGCTGATGTGGCCCTCAATGAAATTGAGTTTAACACCTCTGAAATAGACAGTGGAGTGTAATGGTGTGCAACAGAAAGTTCATCCTGTAACTTCCCCTTTGTCCAGAATAGTAGTTCTCAAAGGATGGTCTGCGGATTCTGAGAGAGTTTCAGGAGGCTTGTAAAATCAAATATCTGTATTATTTCTAAATAATATTGTATTACAGATTTATCAATAGATAAATCCTTTATAAACTATAGCTCTTTGGATCCTGGGTCATTATTAGGAAGATAAATGAACTGAAATTGAATAAATGAAACGAACTGAACTGAACTGAAAGTAAATCATAAATGATTTAGACAAGATGATAGAAGGGGGAAATCATCAAATTTGCAGATAACACCAAGCTGGCAGAAATAGCCAACACTCCAAAATATAGGCTCTAGATACAGAAGAATCTCGACAGACTTGAACATTATCTAACAAAATGAAATTTAATGGTGACAAAAATAAGGTTCTACATTTAGGCAACCCCTCCCCCCAAATGTATAGGGTATAGAATAGATAGTACCTGGCTCAATAATAGTAAATGTGAGAAGAATCTTGGAGTCTTAGTGGACAATCACTTAAATATGAGTCAGCATTGTGCAGCAGCTGCCAAAAAAGCCAACACAGTCCTAGACTGCATTAACAGAGGGATAGAATTAAGATCATGTGACGTTTTAGTACCATTTTATAATGTCTTGGTAAGGCCACACTTGGAATATTGGATTCAACTTTGGTTGCTACAATGTAAAACAGATGTTGAGATTCTAGAAAAAGTGCAGAGAAGAGTAACTAATATGGTTAGGGTATTGAAGACTAAAACATGAAAAATAGTTGAAGGAATAGAATATGTCTAGTTTAATGAAATGAAGGACTACAGATGAAATGATAACAATGTTCTAATATCTAAGGGGCTGCCACAAAGAAGAACAGGGTCAACCTATTCTATAAAGTAACAGGGCAGAAGCAATGCATGAAAGCTAATTAAGGAGAGAACCAACCTAAAACTAAGAAAAATAGTTAGAACAATTAATCAGTGCTTCCAGAAGTTCCCTTGTCTTCACATAAGAGATTGTTCAACCATTTGTCTGAAATGGTATAGGAGCTGTATTTGAACAAGAGATTGAACTTGAAGATCTCCAAAATCCTTTCCAACTCTTATTTTTCTGTTATTCTATTAAGGTAAAGAGCTCCTTAGACCAAGATGTTTAAGAACCGCTGCTGTACAGCAACACCTTGCAAAACCTTTATCACTTCCTTCAGCAGAGATCTCTGCAGTGTTCTCGATAGTTTCAACTGTAGATAGGTAAAGTGTTCCAAAAGCATGGAGTTTTGTTCTGCATGAAATGACAGTATGGATCAGAACCATATGCAAAAATAACTATAGATACAGAAAACACTTTACCAGAGAAACTTATATTCAACTAATGAAAAAGT